CCAAGTCATATCAACATTTCATAATCAAAAGGACACTAGAATAATAATGATCGTAGATAAGAAGTTAGATCAACTTCACATGCAATTTAAGCCTTAAATGTTACCAATTCATTAGGTATCTCTATCTTTCTTAAAAAAAAAACATTACCCTACCTAACACTAGATAGCTCACAAACATCACTCAATTATACTCAATTCTATAGAACAATTTCATTAAAGTTCACTAACTATTGATCAAATTTCACATAATTCTTTAGATATAACTAAAAGATATCTACAACACACACACACAAACCTAAACTTGGGATTCAAGTCATGTCGCAATGAAGCATCCATCAGTTTCACTACAAATTGTAAACATGGAATCTCTCATTTCTCTCTTTGTCTTATTTGTGATGTCTTTGTTGGTCCCCATGGCATAAATGAAGATAACACAAACAGAGAACTGGCAAATACCTAAAACCTACACTTTCTCCATAAAGATAGCCACCTAATTTCTCATCACCGACTTAGCTAGAAAAAACACAGATTCGGTGGTTATATCTAACTAACACTTTCACAAAACGGACCACCATTACCAGTACAATCTTACAATGTTATTCAAAAGTGAGATTGTGGACCTTAAGTAGTGTGTTATGTACTAATAACACCATGTGTGTTTGTTACATTTTGACAACCCGAACGTCGCTCTGACCAAAAGCGGTGCCACAGCCTGGACATTTGCGGTGTCGGATCTCTAAGCTTCTTTGGATGCATTGCTTGCAGAAGAGATGATAACATTTCACAATTACCACCTGCAAATATCGTTCGAAAGAAAAAAAAAAAAGTTGTTATATGCACTGAAAAACGATTCTTGATGATTCATAATATCGTATATTGATGATGATTATGACAGTGATGAGAGAAGATTATCAAATTATTATGTCTGCCTTGATGGTGAGATATACCTCTTTAGGCCGATCAAAACAAACACCACACTTGAGGATGTTTTTGCAATTCTTAACCTCTTCTTGGAGTCTCAGTATTGCAGCTTCTACACTCTCAGAACTCAACTCTTCAAGCTCCTTGTTCAACTCCATCAGCTCTTCCTCGAGCTTCTTCTTCTCACTCCTGTTCAGAAAAGATAGAATTAAACAATCCGGCATTATATAGTTATTGAGTTCTTAAAAGAAATCTGTTTCCAGGTCAACCTTTCATCATCCAATTCCAGTTTGATATCGTTTGTCCTCCTGCTGATCTGTTCATATTCCTTCTCGGATGAAGAAACAGCCGATTTGAGCCACCTGAATTCCTTTTCGGCATCAGCTAATTCCCACTTGGTGGTTTCAAGACTGAGAACGAGGTGACGATCTTCTTGAATCAATTTATAAGCCTCAGAGAAACAGCCTTTCATCTGCAAATGTAAGACCGACGATTAATAAAACACTAATGGGAGCAGTTTTACTTAGAGAATTACAACTACTATACAAGAGAAAGCTTCTAACCTTTTCCTCATTATGTGCAATCCTTGCTTTTAGAGTCTCTACCGATGTGTTTACTTGCTGGAGCTGCTTTTCCATTACTTGCTTCTCAGATAAGTGAGTGTTGTAAGCATTCTTTGTCTTGACACTCTCGGAAACAAGCTACATCATAGATCAAATAAATAATATACAACTGACGTTATAGAGTAAAGCCAAAGGTAACACGATCTCAATATAAAAATTTTCTATTAACAATAGAACCTACCTTGATATTGTAATCATCCCGTTCAGCCACCTGCTGTAACAAATGCTGGTTCTGTGTTTGCATGTCTTCGTAGGCTTGACCGACAGTCTAGAGAGATACAGTATTGATGTATACAATGAGCATTTCCGACTTTTTAAAATTTAAAATCCTCCTTAAGAACATCAATATGAGAAGGATGAGTGCAGGGTACCTCCATTTCAGCAATCAATGCCTCGGCTTCCTGCTCTTTAACTTTAATACCTTCCTTCAGTTCCAAAACCTCTCTGAAAACAAGATAATACTGATTAAAGGCCCCCAAAACAGTGACAAGGGTAAAATACCTTTGATGTGGTAACATGAGATATACAAATTAGAGCATACCTCTCGGAAAGATCTAACTGAGTCCTCAATTCGGCAATTTCAGCCTTAGCTTTAGCAAGCCTTTCTTGGCAAGCAGTTTCAGTCTCATTAGCCGCTTTCACTCTCAATTCAAGAAAGTGTTCATCTAAGACGTTTTTCAGCTCTTCGGCCTGAGCATGAGCTTTTCGTTGTGATTCCATGATTTCTGCCAATCCTCTGAAATTGGAAAACTCAAATCTCATGTTTTTAACTCCAACTCATTTGGTTAAAAGCTAGAACAAATCAACAGCGAAAGCCAAAGTCCTCATGAATCCTTAGTCCTTACTGAGTACATATGTCCTCTTAACTTTCGGAATTCAGTGTCACCAGGTATATACAACCAATGAACCACCCACGAAAATGATTCAAAAAATTAGATCATTCCTATTTAGACTTTTCCAGATTTACTGACCATCTATAGCGTACACTATACTAGAATAGTTGGAATCTAAACCTATTCGTCTCTACAGAGAAAAAAGGGAAGAGTTCACTGAATAACAATACACTCAAATTGTCACATCACATACCTTTCATCGTTACAATCACGTGTACAGATGCTAGCTAGATTTTGCAGCTCTACCTTTTCTTTCAGCAGTTCCTCAATCTGCAACGTTACAATTGACCATTGAGACACTTACAGCTGATAGATTTTCTGGAGTTTCAGTATCCATGATTTCCTAAAAGATGACTGAAGAAAAAATAACTAAGCATGCTGATGAGTTAAGTGCCTCAGAAACGATTGGAGAGAGGCTATTATCCGGATCGAGTTTTCATGTTGAGTAACATGGATCTCATAAGAAAAATTCATAGCCATGATAGGCATTCAAGAAGAACAAAACATCATGGCAAGTAGAACAAAACATCATGGAAGAAAAAAGAGAGAAGTAGATGGTTTAGGGACATAAAGAAAACTTACTAGAGCTTTGAGAGATTTAATTTCCGCCATCTGTTCGGCACATTTATCCTCTAAACCCTTCTGTTCGTCTGCCTTTGTTAGCATGAGAAAATCAATATTTCAGGGAGCAGTCCACTAGATTAGTCCAATACAAAGGAAAAATATAGTATAAGCAAAACATTTATATTTACAAATTCCACATTTGTAATTCAATGTTATAGTCTTTAAGATATGTGCATGCACATGTTGTAAATTAGTCAAAGTCTTTGCATTGACAAGAAAAGCACAAGATGGTCAAAATAGATTAGCTGAAACTCAGAGCCAACAAAATTCTTATCACTTTTCATCATCTTATTGGCATTCAAATCGTAAAAAAAAAGCCTATGACACATTATTAATCGAGTAACCTCTTCCTTACTGATAATTCATGCAGTGACCAAATAGTCCATCCACACAACAGAGAATTAAAACAAAGTTGTTGACATATAGGAAAACAGAGAAATAATATACCGAATATCATCTTTAAAGATGTGGTTGCGTTCAAACCTTGTTACTTAACGAAACTCTCAGCGACTGAGCTTGTTCACGCAGGTAAAGAGCATCATGTGCAGAGTCCTTCCACTGTTTCAATTGCGCTTCCATCATTTTCATCTCTTTAGATAAGGTTGACGCCATTGTAATAAACTCACTTTTAATATCTTCTCGCTCTGAAACATGGAAAATATTTTTTAAGAGCGGGAATATAAAACATTAAATAAGCAGTGGGTACTGAAATAGAGTGACCATCACCAGAATCTTGAATAGCTTCTTCTGTTTCAAGCTCCAATCCATTCTTTTCAACTATACAACTCTGCAGCTTGTGTTCCAGCTCTTCAATTCTAGAACCAACAGTGGTAGTCTTATTGATAGCTGCCTCCAGGGATTCTGCCCTTAGATTTATCTCCTTCTCCCGTCTCATTACAAAGGACCTTTCAGCCTAAAGCAAGGGTTAGACAAGGATAGACGAAATATACACTCACTTCCAAGGGAGAGAAACATCGGCGAATTGAATAAGAAGCTGACCTGAACGGCCTCACTAAGAATTTTGTACCGGTCCAGTTCAGCATTCCAGTGATGAAGTTGATCTTTGATCAAACTATACAGTCTAGATGAGTATATATACTGATCATCCTTTAGTTCATTCTACATCCATTAAGCAAAACATATAATTGTCGACTGCAATTATTGCTTTAAGATATAGCCTCTTTCCCAAATTCTATAAATATACCTCAACATCTTGACATTGTCTTGACAGGGAAAGATTATACTCTTGTGCAGCTTGAAGCTCCAACAGACGACCTTCTGCGACTATCTAGAGTAATTATTCAAAACATGTACTAAGCTTACATGTGAGGAAAGCAAAAAATGAAATCACAAACCACTCTATCAAAGAGCTAGTACCTTTATTTCATCAATTGAGTCCTTCAATTCACGCAACTTCGTTTTATCTACAGGCTTCTCGGGAGAAATGCTTCCATTAGCTATTGCTGGTGATGTTACATGACCTTCACACGCAGCATCCTTCTGCATTTTCAGATTTATCAATTTTCTTCTATTTTCTTCAAGCTCGGCCTTGATCTCTTCCAATTCACCTTTAATAATCAAAGTCACTCCATACTCAGAGAGCAATTATGAAATGTCACCATGCTATTCAACAAAAGTTCTTACATCAAAAGGGAAAATGCAGAACAACTGATTTTTCATGTTGTCTAAAAATATGAAATACGTAACCTTTGAGGTGTTTAAGCTCGGATTGATCTGTTGAATGGCTGCTTATGTACTCTTGAATCTGCTCGGTATGTTCTTTGTTCCTTACATGTAAAGCATCAATCATCTCACGCAAGTTTTTAGCCTCCTCTTTCATTAAATCGTTAATGTTAGACAACTGGATGGTGGCATCTGATAAAGAAAAGAAAAAGCCTGTGAATTGTCTATAGCCGTTAAAAAAAAATTGACCAGATCATTGGCACACCAACCAACCTTCTGCCGAATTCACAGCACGTAAATTTTGTGATATGCTTTCGACTTTCGCCCTCTGTGTAGCAATGGTGTTTTCAAAGACTCCCATCAACTCCAATGTAGAGGAGTGACGCAAAGCAAGAGCTTCTTCAACCTTTCTTACTACCTCATCACTATTTCTAGTATTTACGAAATCTACTTGCAGAAGTCTACATAGAAACATTTCATCAGCAGCGCATGGCGGAACAGAACCTAGATTACATTAAGACAGATTTCCAAACCGTTACGCAAAACTTAATCAACTTATTATTATACTCCAAATAAAAAAGGAGAACTGTACTATTACCTCGCTTTTTCTCAGCAATGTCCAAGTATTTTAGAGCTTCTTGATTAGCTCCAGCACGAACTCCAAGCAACACCAGATCATCTACCAACTACACCATCAAGATACTCTGAGTTAAAAACATTAAACGATTCGATTAGTCGTTCTACAAAGACCAGAAACGAGTAGCTAGCTAAACCTGGTTCCAAATCCGATTAACTGAGATAAGTTCATCATCATAAGATGTTTGATTGATTTGCAACTCTTCGATCTTGGTTTCAACATCGTAAAGCTGTTTCTTCTGCAAGTCTAATTGCTGGACCAGTTTCTGATTCTGGCACTGTAGAACCGTTGCATCAACCTGAAAAAGACCTCAAAATGTAAACAAACATGCAACCACCAAACACAAACTCACTCACTACTACATAGTCTTCTATTTGCATCATTCTGATACTGCTCAATTTACAAATTCCCAAAAACATCAATTTCATAAAAAAGCGAGAATTTCTAAGTCGAAAAAAACTTACACTTTTAGCGATTGGATGCGAAGGTGAGGAATTACGAGCCATGGCAGTCGGAGAAACAGAGTCTAAAAGATGAGGTTTCTTCTGCATCGGCTCGTCAGATTCTTCGTTCTCCATTAACACTCGAAACTAACAAAAAAAACCCTAAATCGAATCTGATCGTTTGTTCAGAGAGAAAGTCTAAAGTCTAAGACTTTAAGCACAAAACTTTGTCTTGTTGATAGAGAATTGCTCAAATGGATTCTACGGTGGGTTTGGAGGCGGAGGAGATATCGCCGGAGAATCTTCCGAGATTTCTAAGTCGTCTGATTATTTTTTTTTATGTAACAAAAGAGAAACCTTAAACGGCGTCGTTAAGTTTAATACGCGATTGTAACCCCAAAATATTATTGGGCCTATTCGTTAGAGTATCCACTACATTACAGCCCAACTACAAAAAGTATATATGACTATGAGTCGTTTAGTAATCGTTCCCAAAATAAAAGCTTAACAACGTATTAAAATTCGATTGATTGCCAAAAAAAATAAATATGTTTACGTTGAGATAACAGAGTTTTATATATTTATTTTTCCCATTATATATTTCATAATTTCCTTTTCATAAGAAAAATAAATATATTACCATAAGAAAAAGCAAACAAGGAAAAATGGGAAGTGTTATAAGAGGAATAGTCAATTTATTATTATTGTTTTTATTGTCCCATTTTTTAACCTATTTTAACAATTCCTTTTCAAAATAGTGGTCTTTCTATGATTAACTTATAGTTCCAAATATTTACAATGATACTATTCACCAAAAAAAAAAAAATTTACAATGATAGTTTTTTTTGTTGGTCAGGAATATAATGATCATTTTGGTGACTAAAATAGGTATAGGCGTATAGCTAAATGTTTACTTCTCACTGCATTAACTTTATTACTTTAGACCTTGGAAAATCATCGACAGATTTTAAAACGCAAGTGTAATCATCTTTCTGTTCAAGCTCGACGAATACGTAATGAAAGACCTTATATGTTTAATGTTATATTAAATATTTTCGTGTTTAATAAGTTTTATCTTCTGTCGTGACTTGTGAACGTACGTTTTGGATTATAAACAAAGTACACGTCACGCATAATTTATATATATTATCTACATGCTATGATTTATATGTTTCAAATCTTCAACAACGTGATTCTGATGAGTGACGATTCTTGGTTTGAGTACTCGTATATTAGAATTCTTTTCTTTTTCTTGGAAAATATTTGTTTTCCTTCGATTTTTTTTCTTTTTCACTTTAACCTATAGTACTGTAGTTCAAGACCACATTATTTTAACCTCCACGTGAAATATCGAACCATAATCTAGCGATTAAGTAACCGGACATCGATCTCTTAAAATAACGAAATATTTTTCTTTTTAACCGGAAAATCATAGTTAGACTAATCTCCGGAAGAACCAAACCTGTAAAAAATCGTTTAAAATGGCCAACCATAATTGAAATCGCAATGAAAAGATTTGAATCATGGTTTATCAATTAATGAATCTTCAACCACTAGATCATTGAGTTGGTTAATAATAAAACATTTTAAGTTATGGTTTCATTTCATCTCTTATTTAATCCCATGCAGTACGAATTTTTACGTAACGTCTATGACTAAAAAAAAACATATTTCATGAATTTTTTTTTTTGTTTGAAACTTTATTTCATGAAAATTGGTTAGTTGGTATCGTACGTATCGTACGTTGAGTATTATACAGAGAGTTCGAATTTATCGGTAATTTTTTTGGTAATTTACTTTTATTAGAACCGGACACTGTATTACATCACCAACATAGCAAACAATTATGTTT